GCCCCCTGCCACGCGCAAACACGCTACCCCGACTTTTGCACTCTCTGCCTTCGGGCGCTCTCGATACACCATGTAGACAACCCGATGTGCCGTATCAGAACCCTCCAGCGCGTGCAGCAGGCGCTCCATGCATGAGGTGCTCCGCGCGTGCATGATTATCCCCAAAAAGGACCAAAACACGCACCTGCACCAGAATGTCCGAGCCCTTGCGCGCCTCGCCGCTGAAACGGTCCACCCACCCAGGAGCACCTGCCGGTGGGGATGGAACGGTGCGGTGCACATGACACCTCATTGTGCCGAGCCATGCCTGTTTCACAACCGCCTGCCGCCACACAAGCGAGCGGCGGCCACGTCCATTTGCGCCCGCCCAGGCGGCGCAGTGAGCGGGCCGCGCCGGCGAGTGCACTCACTGTCGGCGTCCATGGTGGCCTGCACCGACTCGCGAGCCTGCTTGAGCTGCGGGGGCAGGCAGCGCGGCAACAGAAGCGGCGGCGTCGCCAACGACGCGCGTGCGCGCGCTCGCGAGTCGCCGCACCAGGCTGCTTGCGAGCTGCAGCAGGCACCGAGCGACATCATGGATTACAAGGACACGGATGCAGGATTGGTTGCGCAAGAGAGCCAGCGGAAGCAGCGGGCACGATCGATCCAGCACCCACCTCGTTCACGTCCATCTTCGCGGAGCCGGTGCTGCCCTCTGCAGCTCCCAGCTTCGACTGCGCAACAAGGCGCGCCCTGCGAGAGACCCCGACCGTGCTCATCAGCGGCTGCCGGCCCCAGTCGAGACCAGCACACAGCGCGTTGCGTAAAAGCAGCTCACCTGAGAGTCCTGGGCTTCCTCGCCACCGCCGGCATAGGCCTCGCCGACCGTCCCGACTGCGAATGGGCCAGATCGCATGGCTCAGCACCGCACAGCAATCTGTACGCAGAAGAATGCCTATGTTGTCGCGTCCTATGCTCACCCTGCAGGCCATCCTGGCGCCCTGGGGGAGGCTCAACATCTCGGCTGCTTGCACTCGCCGGTGCTTGGCTCCGCTGGCTGGGCAGCAAACTACTCCAAAAATACGCGCGCTATCGGTGACAGCACGCCGGGAAAGAGGGCGTCCCAGCCACGGGAGCCGCTACAAGGCGAGTCTCGAACAGCAAGCGTCCGCCGAGTACCTGGCTGTCGGAGGCAAGCATGAGACGTTGGAGAGCTGTGGTGTGTGTATTTGCAATGGACGTTTGGGAGTCGTCACGCACCAGCACCTGCTGTCTGCAGGGGACGCAGGTGTTACTAACCTCACAGTGGGGTGAGGCCACAAAGCATTGGACTGTCTGCAGGCCGCTCAACCTGCTCATCAATGCGGGACAACATGCAGCCCGCGCGCCCCATGTTGCACATGCGTGCGGTGCAGGTGGCACTCCGTCGAAGCGTGGCTGGGGGTAGGGGAAAGAGGGCAAGGACCTCGCTGGGGTCAACGCTGCCGCACTGCTGCCCTTGTACTGTGCGATACCTGCAATACCGAGCCACGCGGGTGCCCACCAATACAGGCACCACAGTCGCCCAGCTGTGACCGAAAACTGCACCACACCGCCCTCACATTCCCTGAAAAACCGTTCGGCGTGGCCACATGCCAGCACTACTGGCCAAAGCCTCTCATGACTGCTGAGCTGGCAAGTGGCGGGCACCGGTTTGGAAAGAATCCTAACACGAGACGCGTGCGCGCGCGCACACACACACACACACACGCGGGCAGGCAGGCAGGCAAAGAGTGGGTCCAAGCATGTAAAAGCAAAGCGGCTCCGACGTGCGTATTGCAACGGCGGCCCAATCCCAGGACCTCACAGGCGGGAGGCCCCCAGCCAGCAGGATGCACGGAGCCGCGCACTCCGCAAAGCGCCCTGCAAACAGCATCCCTGTGTGAGAGGTTAAGCCAGGCCCCATGATGCACGACAACGTTTGGGGCGCTCGTGCCCACGCGCGTCGCCACACGCCCATGCGGACGGACGTTGGGGGTGTGGCGTGGCGCCTGACGCGTCCCAACTCCTGAGAATCGAAAGGGCGTCGTCACAACACTCAACAATCGCCCCGAACAACTTTTGAAACGATTTGCAGAATGTGGTGCTGCGCCCAGAAGCAGCGCGCCGCATCAATCAGTACAGTTGGGGCACGCACGCAAATCAAGCAAAGGGGACAGCTCCGCCACGGCAGCGGGCGGCTGGGGCAGGAGAGACGCGCCTGTCGCACACACAACACAGTGGCCCTACGTATGCTGCTGTTGTCGCTGCTGTGTGGAGTCCTGTAACTATCGCCAGCACATATCAGTGCCAGGCAACCACAGGTTGGCGATTGAGCTCAGCGTGTGCCTATACGCGTGACACAACAGTTGAGAGTTTGAGTGGCAAGCGCCCAAACAAGCGCTTTCCCGCTGCAGACGACCACCGGCGCGCCGGCCAATCTTGGGGCGGCTTGCGAGCGTAGCTAGCCCAGCGACCTGCGCCCGTGCCTTCTCTTGCACTCGCACTCTTGAGCCGTGCTTGGTTTTGAAAAGGCATGAGGTCGTTCACTAGAGATGAGGGGAGCACATCAGCTATGTTTGACGAAGTGGGGATCCGGCATCCGTGGAAGCGCCCTCTGGGGGGCGCGTGCAGCAACCGCTGAACACAGCGCGTGCAGCAAGCAATGCGCCGCGCGATTGCCGCGCAACCGGCGCGGCCGCGAGGGCAGAGTTGCTTGTCAAACGGCGCGTTTTTTGCGCGGGCACTAGGTTTAGAGCTGCAGCCCGGGTTGCTCCTTGCCGATCGAACGAGAGCCCAGCCGAGGTGCCAATGACCTACTAGGAGTGTTTGGGGTGACGCAAGTAGCCCCAAGTAATCAGCAGGCCCGCGTTGCAGCACACGCTATTGTGTCACCGGTGACCCCCCTCGAAAGCGCTCATTCAGAACGCACTCCCACGGCAGAGCGGGAGGCCATCCGAGCGGCCCAAATCCAGCCCCAGTGCAGCGAGGCGGGCGCGGCTTGACAG